TGTAGCAGCAATGTAACAGACTCATGCCCCAAAAACTGATGAAGGCCAGTCTTCGAGTGATAAAGTTCATGACCATCGGAGGAGAGATACCTATACAATACAAGAGAGGAGGTCCGAAGGAAAGAGCCTGTCTGGGGAATGTAACTGAGAGCTCTTAAAATTCTGGCTAATTTGAATAAGGACCCAGGCAAGGAGAAGAGATTGAGACAGAAGCAAATAAAATCAAAATAAGTTTGAAAGTTAAGAGTGCCCCAATTCCTCAATTTAAGGGCCTGACAACCAATCAAAATGATTCCAGGGCTTATAAGAAAGTCGAATTTCTGAGGCACATTCAGGACCGACTGGATTTTGTATACTCAGAGGAAATTCTGAGAGACTCGCGCATCATTTTAAGTTTTGCAGGCCTAGCTTTTTTAGCCTTGCCTGGCTTGGATCTTCAAAGAAGTTCCTGAGAATAAAATCAGAATTATTCACATTTTAAGTGCAGGCTACACGGCACAGTTTGGTGGGATAAATCTATGAGAAATTCCCAAATATGAATCACACATGGAGGGCAAAATCTGGCCCACAGACTTCCTCTAATTAAATGCCTGTCTAATAAAATATCGTCAATGGCATACAGATGACTGCTAGCAGAGCTGAGGCAGTTCAGTTTAAGTTCTGGAACTCGTTAAACACATTTCTTCATGCTGAAAGAATTTCTTGCATTTTTTATTTTGCCCTTAACAAGCAGCAGCAAAAGCAACCACAAAAGAGTCTGCGATTTACATGTTTTGAACTAATACCCAATAAAGAATATTAATGCAAGGAGGCCCTGGAGTAGCCAAGAGTGGCTTTAAGATTTGCGTTTATATCAGGTCTGTCTCCCTCCTATGGTCTCCAAGTAGTATTTCACAGAGCAGCAAGAGAGGTCTTGAAAGGTGGCTGGAAGCCTGCAGACCTTGCTGAGTCAGGAGACCCACACGCCAGCTATTATCTTACAAAGACTAGTTGACAGGAAATCTGAATGCATTTGCGAGTTCCCAGTCTCTGTGGCCTAATCTTTACACCCAACCCCCTCTCTGGCCTTCCTTAATTCAACTTTACACACACACACACACACAGACGCCCACCTGTCACCACATGGTGAGACCCTGCAGGCTGGGTAAAGACTTGGGGACAGGAGTCTCCCAAAAGTCAAAGGGCATGGAAGGTGGGTGGCAGATGCTGGCTTTTCCTGAACTCTTCACAGTGACACTGGGGAGACCACAGATATCAGCAAACTGGCTCTACTGGGCCCAGGGAAACACAGATGTGACTCTTTGACCAGTGTTATGGCGACTTTATTAGCGCAGGGCAAGCTCCCCTGGAGGTAAGTAGTGACTGTTCTCAACACCCGGATGTGCAGCCTTTGAACAAGCCCTGCTTCCCTTCTTTAAGCACCGAGATTGCTTTCATAAATGCTGGCAAAGAAGCAGAAGTTAAGTCACTTGGTTGGTACAAAACCAAAGAGAGAAAGACGCTATGAGCAACTCTTAGAGCAGGACATCTTGTAGGTATGGAACTAAGGATCTCACCATCGACTGACAGCTTTTAAAACACTTTAGATCAAAACACTTCTGCAGGAAAAAGCAAAACGAAGTAGTGGCCGGGGCATGTTTTTGCTTTGGAGGTTTACATGTGATGATCCGTATTACATGCTTATAAGTGAATATCTACTGCCCATTCATATTTCACCACCACACTGCTACATAATCAGAGGTAAAGAGAAAACTCATTGAACAAACCACCTTCACAAATAAACCACAGGATTCCACGCTTGATTCTGTTTAACTCACATTTGACTGAACATTCATATAGCAAACTGACATCTTTTTCTAAGTCAAAACAGAATATGCAAAAACATTTTATAACTGCAAAATCCCACAAGATAAATAAGTTCTTCCTGCCAATTATGGCCTGTAATTACCTAAGTCAAGTCTACGTGATCTCTAGCTTCCACATCTGATTTTAATTATTAATCCATACAAGGCTCTCCAAAATTGAAATATTGAGTCAAAAAGCTCTTATTGCACCCAGATGTCACATAGACTAAAAAGGTGAAGTCCAGAGTCTGGGTTAGAGTTTCAGCTTTGTCATGCAATGGCTGTCCATCCATATGACTGTAGTCATTTCACTCCGTCGGGACAAGCTTTCTCATCCATAAAATGAAGGTTTCCCCAGATGATCTCTGAGTATCCCTTCTAGTTTTAAGATTCTGTGATTCTGGGAAGTATACAAATCTAAAGCAAGATGCAAGTAGACTACTTCAATGAACAACTGTCACAGCAGCCAATCATCAGTTTGATTCAAGCAGGCACTGGATCAAATGATTTGGAAAATAAAACCCAAAAAAGTCTGTATAAAAGGAGTTAAGTCTTCAGAGTCTTTAAAATCAACTTCTTGACATTCATGTGGACAGGAAATCATTTGTGAACCACAAGCAGAGTCAGTGCTTCTGTTTTTTCTATACGGCTGCCACATTCTACTCAGTTTCCTAAACATGCTTAGTTCTTCCCCGCACTCAAGTCACATACTGAGTCCAGTAAGGCCACTGGCACGGTGGCACGTAGGGATTGTTGCATATAACTATTCAATAATTCTGTAGTTATGTAGGATCTAAGAATTTTATTCTACAATTTATCTTTAAACAAAATTACCTAAGACTGAAAAGTACAAATAACAGGCATTAAGAAAATCATTTCCTTAGTGACGCTTTCCTTTATTCTGCAAGCAAGCCAAAAAATTCAGCTAACACTCTCACTGTGTTCCACTAGATTCTACAAGGCAATGAGGCCCGGAAGAGAAGTGACCCTGGCCGCCCAGTAGAACCAGCTGGGAGCCCAAGCAGCAACTCAAGGTCAATTAGATCACCATCAATAGGGTCAGGGAGCAGGCATCACGACTCACTAAAATGTCTCAAGTGATTGCTTTTTGAGAAACAATGCTAGTTAAAACCAGGCTCCTGGATCTAAAATGTAGGAATGTTGGGTGAAAGGCATTGACATCAGTGGGCAAGTTTTAAAAAGAAGTCAAGTCTCTTGCTCCTTACACTTTCTTTTGTCCTGCTCAGAGAAACATCCAAGTGTCACTGATCTCAATAGAGGACACTGTTCACAGAAGCGTGAACCATAAACCAAGAGCAACGATCCTGGAAAGTGGTTCTCGTCAATGCTGTGCACAATTCAAAGGCAGGCATTTGGTCTGCTGACCGACTGGTGACCACGTGACCGATTTCAAGGTATCACTCTTCCCTGCATCCCCACTCATGGGCAGCTCTATGTTTCACCACGAGATTCTGAGAGGCAGAATTATGACTTCTTAAAACACAGCTAACAATGAGATCCACCAAAGCAAACCCCAACCAAACCAACAATCCCAAGCAAATTACAACCCAAGACCTTTCTAGCATTTCATATGAAGCCTGGAAAGCAGAAATAACCCCAAATTCTTTCCATTAAAACATTCGTTATTCTTGACTAAGATTTTACCAACACAACCTCAACTAGCCATCACCTTACATTTGGCCTTGAATTGTGTCAACTCCTCACTGTGTGAGGCACAGAAAAGCAGCCCTCCTTTTAAAGAAGGGGGAGAGGAAAGGTCAAACCAAGCCCTTCCCCGTCATCTCCAGGTACTTCTGTTCAAGCACTCAACCAACAGGAGGGTGATCTGCACACGTAATTGAACATACACAGAAAATTGCCATATAAATATAACACTATACACATGATCAAATTCATAATAAAGCGCTTCTTCCTAGCCTGTGCCAGTGAAATAAACAAGCTCCTTTCTACTTGCCAGTGGAATTGCTGTTCATCTTGTCCACCTTTTCTGGACAGCAAGTCATTTGCGTGAAGTTTTGTTTTTCTTAACGCTTTTAGAAGCCAGGCATACCTTATCCAAACATGTACCTGTCCAAAACGTCCTCTAACGAATGTGGACTAGAACAGATCGTCTCTGGAGAAACCCTGGACTCTGACCCAGGCTGCTCACAGCTGGAGACTGGCCTCCTCACTCATTCTCCTCTTTTTCCTCATTCAAACACGGGCCACCTAAGGTCACCTGACTTCTCAGCAGGGGAGGGGAACACAGCGCTGCGGGGTTACCAAATACGAGGGGCTGGCTCACGGGGCTCAGCATTTCAGAGTCTGAATCACTGGATGCGGTCCCACTGCTAGTGGAGCCCTCGGTCATTTGCAGGGGCGCCAGCTGGTCCGCCATGCCATCCGCACACCCTGACCGCATGGTGGGGATCTTTGAGGCGGGACTCACTCGAGGGGTGCCATTGGCCAGCATTCTACCTTCAGAAGCGGCCACACTGGCCTGCCCTCCCTTTCCACGGCCATCAGGCCTATCCATGGCCTCTGGGGTGGACACTACCTGGCTAAGGATGAGTGGATCTGTCTCTGACTTGTTATATCTACTAGGAAGCTTCCGCAGGAATGGCCTGGGCAAGACGGGGGAGCAGTTTTCATAAGGTGGGCCCCAGCTTGGGAGGGTATCTTCTCCCACGCTCCCCTCTCTATGGTCATGTCCGTTTTCAGAGACATAGCCTTGAGACCCGGTTCTGTCCCAGCTCATGTTTGAACTTCTGCTGCTGGGAGACAAGGGGGTGGCCAGAGGGCTGTGACCTGCCGAGGCCCTGAACATTTCATCTATCAGAGAGCTATGTCTGGGGAGTCTAGGGCTCCCACTCATATCAAAGGTTATGTCTGCCGAATCATCATCAAGGAATTCTCTGGAAGGAGGCCGGGAGGACTTTGCAGAGTGAGGGGAAGCCCTGTGCCCAGGCTCTCTGCACCTCTCGTCCCTGGAGGGCAGATAAACACCACTGGTCAGATCACCCTCATAGTTGTCATTTGTTTGGGACCGTGACCGGGACACTTGTTCTCTGAGCAGGTCGTATTCACTATCTACGTCACTGCAGTCAATGAAAGGAATGGAAGTACTGCTGCCCCTAGCAGCCCGGGATGCTGGACCTGTGCTTGGCTGCGGGGCCTGAGGTTTACTCTGCTGGGTCCTATCCTTCACGACCTCCTCCTCTTCCTCCGGCGGCGCCTTGACGGCTCCGTCCGCCCGCTTGTTACCCGCAGGGCTCTTCTTCAGGGCAGGGCTGGGGTGCGGCCCCGGCTCATGGGTGGAGACCTTCGGTTCCTTTCCTGGCGGGCAGCTCTGGCCACCTGGGGACTCAGCACCTTCTCCGGACACAAGGCTAGCGCTCTGTGGGGACTGGGGGGGGCAAGACAAAGAAGGAGGGGGTGAAGAGAAGAGGGAGGGTGTTACACCAGAGCTGAACATGAAGAGACGTCAGGGTCGCACTGAAGCATCTGCGTCGGCTGCAGGCGGTGGAAAGGAGTGCCGTAAGCAAAGGCTGCCCGCCCCAGTGTTAGAACAGAGTCCTCTGACAGTAAGCAGGCACTCAGAGAAGCACGCTCGGTCACGATCCAGAAGGTTCCCTCAGGGTGTGGGAGTGGACAAGGCTGATCCCCAGCAGTACAAGCTAGGCTCTGGCTACACTCTCTAGGATGCGCAGTTTTCAAATTTCTAAGAACAAGACAGCCTGTCCAGGCCCCGGGGGCCTCCCCAAGGAGGGAGGGGTGGGTGGACCAGGAAGGAAAGCAATACCATGGACCCCCAAAGGCAAGCTGACAGCCTTCCGAGAAAAAACCCAAACCGTCTTTGCTCAGACTTCTTAGGGCAGCTGGGGTGGGGAGGGGCGCTTTTTGGAGTCACACAAAGAAACTTCCTTCGTGTTCTTCCCCAACAAGGTTCTTGTCCTCTTTTAGAGAAAGCCCTGAAAACTTACCCAGAGACCAGCTCCAGGGAAAATGAGCTCTAGCCACCTTCAGAGCGAGAGTGGTAATGTCTCCTGCTGCCAGTTGTGGTCACTGCCCTGTAACATAAGCTCTGGGAACTCCTTGCCCAGTTCTGCGCCCGTGAAGGTTTCTGACTCTGGCACCAAGCGGGAGCTATGCCCATCAGTTGCAAAACGGGCCCACGTCTCTTCGCCTAAGTGTGCCCATTTAGCTGGAAGGCCAGGCTCAGCTATATCAACTTATGTGGGTGCTTCTACCCCTTAGCTGTGTTCTGGGTAGCTTAGATCAGAAGTCAGCTGAAAACAGGACACACTCCAGGGCCTCTGACTGAACCCAGGTTGGGTGTGCAGAGCACAAAGCCTAGGTCTGGTCAAAGCCAAGGCCCACAACCAGATACCCATCTGTGAAAATCCTCAAAAGGGAAGGACGAGGAATTGGAAAACATTGCTGTCAAGCCCTGTGCTCAGCAGAGCAAGACTGGTGAAAAACAGAGTCAGAATAATCCATTGTCATGACTGACCTGTTTTGGCACTTCTGAATTCAGTTCTGCAGGCTGCATGGCAAGGCTTCTGACGGAATGAATCTTGCTGTGTTTTCTGAGAGAAATCACACAAGATGGCTGATATTAGGTGAGATTTTATTTTCTGTTTTTTCAATGAAACAAAAGGTTCTTTTGTTGGAAGCATTAGGTTCTTTCATGACAATGAAGGCACCCAAAGCCACTTTTATAAATGCCACTAGGAAACAGACACACACAGTCATCCTTTTTAACACTTGGCTCAGGGGTTACTACAATCTTGAAGAGGTTCTCAGAGGCCCCTTGCTCCAATTCTCATGGCGCGGGGTGGTGTCCAGGACCTCCCAGTGAGGAGGAAGTCACAGCAAAGGGAGGACTGGCAGACCCTTGAATGACCAGCGTCACAAGCTACAGCCCAGCGATAGGAAACCAACTCGTGTACTCTGGGTGATTATTTTCTAGATCTGTTCTATAATAAGGGCGGTTACCTCTAAGTGGTTAAGTTCAGAGGAGAGGCCTGCCCTCGGCCGTAGAAGGGATGGACTTGAATGCCACCAACACGCCACCTTCATCTTTTCCCTTCCTCAGTCCGCTTAGTCCCTCTTTCCCCATGGAACAGGCATTAGACACTTTTCAGGTCCGGAAACCCACGAAACTGAGAGGACTTAGAGATGACATTCCAAGGCACATCCAGCTTTTCTTCAAAATACCCCACATTACCACAGAAAAGCCCGGAGGCACCCACATTCTGCAGTAGAGAGACAACCGGGCCACTTCTTATTATCATATGGTCCTCAAAATACAAATTGCTAATCCCAAGAAAATTACAGATGTGCCATCTCCAGATATACCCGCACAAAAGCCTCTTGAATGGGATGCTTCTGAGGCTGGGCCTGCAGGGCCGCCACCGGTGGGCATCGCGAGGCAGATCCAAGGGTGGCCACGGCAGCGGGTTGGTTTCAGCAAAATCAAAACAAAACCCGGAAAGAGCTGAATGTTTATCAATAGGGAATCAGACAAATGAAGTGTAATATCTTCATAACACTATAGGGCACTTAAAACTGATCTCAAAACAGGATAGGGTAGCTTAAAAAAGCAGGATACAGAATAAGGTACAGCATGAGAGGACTTGAATGAACAAGCACAGCTCAGGGGAACCCTACATATTCTCTGGGGATGCGGGACCAAGTATACAGAATGGAGCCACTGTGTGGCAGTTGCCTCTGAGGAGGGGTGAAGGGAAATAATGAAGGGGCTGATTCAAGGCGGTTTAGTCATATCTACAATTAGGAGAATAAGAAGGTTCCAGAAACAAATACGTCAAAAGGTTAATAGTTGTTAATTTTTTGAGTCGGGGTCTCACTCTGTTGCCCAGGTTGGACTGTAGTGGCATGATCACAGCTCACAGCAGCCTCAACCTCCTGGGCTCAGGTGTCCTTCCGCCTCAGTCTCCTGAGTAACAGGGACTACTGGTGCACACACCATGCCCAGCCAATTTTTAAATTTTTCTGTAGTGATGAGGTCTCGTCATGTTGCCCAGGCTGGTCTCAAACTGGGCTCAAGCACTCCTCTTGTGTTGGCCTCCCAAAGTGCTGCGAATATAGGCGTGAGCCACTGCAACTGGCCTACTGCAATTTTCAAACATATGAAAAGAGAAAAAAAATTTTTAAATTCCGCATCACTGGCTAGTGCTAGAGGCCTATCATCTCTGAGTCCCTCTCGAGTGCTGTTGCTTGGTCCCAGAGCACTGGGCTTTGGGGCTGGCTGGCTAGAAATGTTTACCAGCTTCGAGGCCTGTGCTACTTAACCTTCTGGAGTCAGTGCCTCCGTCTCTACAAAGGACATGAAAGAACGCCGACCCTGTGGGTGACTCAGTGAGTTAATATAGGCCCAGTGCTCAGAACAGCCTTGCACATACTGAGAGCTATAAGTGTGTGCTCTCACCCATAACAATCAAAAGAGTAATAAATCCTCTTTCTGTGCATCCAAACTTTATTTAATTAAAAACTTCATAGAAATATTTTCTTTTTTCTGTTTTTTGAGTCGGAGTCGTCCAGGTTGGAGTGCAGTGGCACAATCATGGCCCACCATAGCCTCAACCTCCTGGTCTCAGGGAATCCTTTCACCTCAGCCTCCCAAGTAGCTGGGATTCCAAGCATGTACCACTACGCCATTTGTTTGTTTGTTTGTTTGTTTTTGCAGAGATAAGTTCTCACTGTGTTGCCCAGGCTGAGAAATATTTTTAATACAAATCCCCAAATATTGAAGGACTCGCTGGCGAGCCAGTTTTGACAATGCTTTACCCCCACTGTGATGTCCCGGGTCCCTTCCCTCCTCGCCCTTGCTAGCGTTCTCCCCTCCTCTCTTGGTCCTGTCCATCTTTTCTTCTCATCTCATCTGATCCCGAGTGTGTGCCCCTAAACTGTTGTACTTGCTGAGGTCAACTCTGAAGCCATCATTTATAACTCACTGGACACCCAGCCTGGGTGGAGAAATGTTCGGCGGCCATCCACTGTGAGTGAGAGAGTACAAGTCTCCTCAGACAAGAAGCAGCTGCGAAGCTTCTCTTACCTTTCGAACTGCACCTTCTTATGTCCTCCTTCCTTAACGTAGTCGAGAACTTGCTTCTGCGTCCGGCCGCTGGAACGAAGGCCACAGAAGGGAAAACACCAAGGCCTTCTGATTTAAACCCAGACGACGCTTCCCTGTCTCTACCCTCCCTCCCTCCTTCCTTTGCTGGGAGACACGTGGGTTTTTGGAGTCAGGCAAGACTGAAAGCAACCCCAGGAGAGCCTATGTTATGTGTCCATTCGCTCTCTCGGTCTTTCCTCATATACACAGAAAAAAAAATGTGCAGGTAAGTAACCCACTTCCTAATTGTGTGTTTGGCTGTTAAGCAGCCATGCCAAGTGTCTACCTTTCATGAAGGGCTCAGTGTTCAGAACCATCTTTGCAACATGGGAGATACAACATTTGTTGAAAAAAACAAATGGGAAAGCCAACTTGTGATGTGAGAATCCATGCATCATTCTATGAAGGAAACCCAGGTGTTCATAAGACATTTTTACTTCTGGAGAGAAACGGACCCCAGCTGAGTTAGAGAAGGTTGTCAGGAGGTGACTATGGCCAGGTAGCTTGCCTCACACCTCTCTGCTGGTCAAACAGAGCCCCCAGCGAGGGTGACTCCAGGTGCCGCCGTCAGCCATGGTTCCCGAAGGCCAACAAGAGTTCACCTTACCACGTGCTGTATGTCACAGCAGTTGTAACAGCAAGAAAAGAAAAGTCCCAGGAAAAGTGTTCACATGGCAAACAGGGAGGTGGGAAGGGGCGATGTTACCTGAACCGGAACGAGGACCCTCGACTAAAGAGGACCGGCTTTGGCTTTGGTTTGGGCTCTTCAAAAAGTCTAAAAAAGGCATGATGTTCGACGCAGATTTTCCAGAAGGACTTGCAAAAATCCCGACTGGCCATTAGGAATTCCAAGGTATCCTGGTACGAGCTCTGTGAAGGGAAAACACAATGTTTCTATTACCCACAGATATTCCACTGAAATATGAGAAAAGGGGTAGAAAACACATTTGTCCAATACAGTTTTGACTGTGCCTTTTCATGATAGCATGTCCATACATTCAAAAATCTAGAAAGATACAGCTACTCCTAGTGACAAGATGAAGTCACTATTCAACCATTTTCTTCCCCACAGAATTCCTTAGAGGAAAACAGAAAACAGTTGTTACAGAAGCGGTGGCCATTTTTTTTTGACAGAATACATAAACAAATTATGTTTACTTGGCTTATATTTCTAAGGAAAAAAATCCAAATACTGAAATTCCTTTCTTGCCTCCTTATGATATCTGAAACACACTTTATCTTTGTGTTCTTCCTTATGCTTTCTGTCAACTTTGACTTTTCTCTGCAAAATAGCATAATCTCAAGTCTCCAGGTGGCCCCAGGAACGACACGAAAAATAAACACAAAAAATAAACATTTTTTTTTTCTAGAGCACAAAACAAAACAAAACTTCCCTCTCAGCTGAAAAAAACTCACGTCCTTGGATTCTGGAAAGGAACATGGTGATTTTCTACTCCCAAAGTGAATGTTCCCAATTTAAGTGGCCATATTAGATAAACAAAGTTACCACAGTCCTTAACATTCCCAGCAGTTCCAACTCTTTCTGGGGAGCTCACGGTTTGGGGCCGACCCAAGCTACAGAGGAGTTGTGCTGTGATGCTTCACTCGTCAGGTAGCTTTTTGGAATTCATATGCAGTTTCCCGAGAGAACCACGTGTTGTGGGCGCGTGCTTCCCAGGTTAGACCATGAAGCCGATTTCATCCATATGGTAGTGAAACTGGAAGCCTACACTGCTGTTTGTCATCTTTCTTTCCCATGGGGAAAAAAGGACTCTATGCTCTGGTTGGGGACAGACACCTGGAACCCATCACCCATCTCCTCCATCGCCACTTCCGGCAGACAAAGAAGACGCTGTTCTTCCCTTCCCTGACCCAGTCCCGGTGTCGGGCACATCTTTAGGGGGTTTGTGGGAAGCAAGTGGGGAGCTGGGGTGGGGGGAGGACCTGGTTAGCTTGTGAGAGTGAGCTACATGAGAGGTTCGGGGCAGCAGCAGGAACTAGAGGGTCCTAGAGCTGGCTGGGCAGGGGCATGCCTGGGACAAGGTCGAATGCTGACAGGGTCCTGAGGCAGGACCAGAGGTTGGACATGCAGCAACAGCACAGCCTAGGCTGTTTGTCAGGCAACCTGGATTTATACAGGTAAGTGACCCTATTCCCAGGTACACATCTGTGCACCTTTTTTTTATTTTTATTTTTAAGTCAGGGTCTTGCTCTGTCGCCCAGGCTGGATTGGAGTGGCATGATCGTGGCTCACCACAGCCTCGACCTACTGGACGCAGGCAATCCTTCCACCTCAGCCTCCCAAGTAGCTGGGACTACAGGCACGTGCCACCATACCCAACTAATTTTTTTGTAAAGATGACGTCTCTCTCTGTTGCCTAGGCTCCTGGGCTCAAGCGATCCTCCCACCTCAGCCTCCCAAAGTGCTGGGATTACAAGCATGAGCCACTGGGCTCTCTGTGCATACCAGCTGTAGAGTTACCGAGCACCTGGAAACATCTGTCTGCAGAGACATTCAGGTCATCCAGACAAAAGCACCCAGGTGGCACTGGCCACCCTGCAGGGCACACTACCCCCCCCATGGCTCAGTGGGTCCCCTCTCTCCCCAGAGCCACTTACGTTGGCATCAGGCCGGAGCTTGATGAGAAAGCGCTTCCTCTTGAAGCTCAGCTTCCGCACCTTGGCCCAGTTGAAGGCATTGATCTTAGTGAAACCCTAAGAAGAGAGACAGCAGTCGGTGAGCCAGGAGACACATCATAAGCAACTCGGGAGCCTGCTGGCTCTGCAGACAAAGACCGACGGTCGATCGCTCAGGAAAGACGCCTTTGGCGGAGAATTCACAGGCTCTGTGGCTATCGGGTGGCGTCCGCTCCTGGATCATTATTTCTCACTAATTATATGATTTGGCATTCAAACTAAGCCTGCCTCTAGGGAGAGAAGCAGCCGGCCGAGGTAATGATAAAAAGAAAAATAGAAAAAAACCATGACAACCTCCACAATAATTAACAGCTGTTCCTTCTGGAGAGCCAGGTGCCGTCCCAAGGGCTTTACACCCCTTATCTTATGAAACCTTATGCCACAAAACCCAGCAAAGTAGCTTGATTATCTTCATTTCCTAGACACGGAAACTGCGACATGGATGGATTTTATTTGATTGATCCACTTTTTGTTATTATTTTAGATGCGGAGGGACGTGTGCAGGCTTGGTACATGGGCATATTGCTGTAGTGGAGAAGTTTGGGCTCTTGGGGAACTCATCACCCAAGTAGCGACCGCCATACCCAACAGGTGAATTTTCAACCCTCACAGCATGCCCCAGCCACCTTCTGGAGTCCCCAGAGTCTATTTTATTTCCATCTTTATGTCCATGTATACCCAGCAAGCGGGAGAGATTTTAGTTTGTCCCAAGTCACGGAGTTAAAATGTGGCAAAAAGAGACTTCCAAGCACTTGCCTTCACCTGCAGTCACTGCCAACATACAGCAGGCCAGCAGCCAGTTACCCCTCGTTTTACACACTAGTCTGACACCTATGCCCACCAAGCTTCCTGCAGCACCAGTGGGACTCAGGATGGGAGGCCAGGCCTTCTGTGTGTCTTCAAGGCCAGCGCACATCTCTGGGTGGGACTTGCCTGTCCTCATTGTCTTTGGAGGCCAGGTCACCACTATCTCTATCCAAGGCAGAGTTGCCGGGTACCAATCCCCATCTGTTCTGCCTCGACTGAACTCAGAAATCCCTGGAGCCCACTTGGACACCAGGTTCATCACTCCAAGTGGGAAGAACGAAGCAATTAGGTACTGGCAAGAAGCTAATTCCAAGATGTAGCCTCTGGACATGATCAAATTAGCCAGCAACTCTCAATATTTAGATTGTATCCAACACAACAGAAACCAATTAATTCAATTGTGAAGCATTTCTTCTCCCTCTTTATATTTTTAGAAATGGTTATGGGTTATGATTTGAAATTTAATGATAGTACAGAAAACCTCATTTGACTTTATTGCTTTCCTTTATCTTTTTTTTTTTGTTTTTGAGTCAGAGTCTCTCTCTGTCCCCCAGGCTGGAGTGCAGTGGCATGCTCACAGCCTCCGCAGCCTCGACCTGCTGGGCTCTGGCGATCCTTCTCCTCAGCCTTCCGAGTAGCTGGAACTACAGGCATGTGCCACCACGCTTGGCTAAATTTATGATTTATTGTAGAGACGAGGTCTCGCCAAGCTGCCGAGGCTGGTCTCTAACCTCTGGACTCAGGCTATCCTCTCGCCTCCGCCTCCCAAAGTGCTGGGATTACAGGTATGAGCCACCACATCGGTCTTTATTGTTTTTCTTATCAGGCACTCATAGAGGACCATGCTGGCCAAAAAGTGTCAAAAACATTCAGGAGCAGTCACTGCCTTGAATACCACGCTGTTCTCAAAACGTCACTCCCTACTCTCCAGTACGAAACCCAATTTTAATTCTTTGTGGGATGTGATTCTGCAATGATTAGTGTCTATTGTAAACTTCTGGTACGAAAACAGAGAATCACTGGAACCTTTTGATAAAATATGAAAGGTAAATGTAAGGAAACCTAAAAGAGCTCCAAAAAGGATTTTATGTCATGCCCACATTTACAACTTCAAGACTGGGTGAAATTGGACCCTTATTTCACAAGAAAGAAAGATGCTTCCTCCATATTCATTTGAAATGAAAGCACAGGTGACCTGGTTTCCTTTAAAAGGAATGTACTGAGGAAGCTTTTGGAGGTGGGGAATATATTCTATATCTTAGCTTTGTTAATGACTTTACAGGATACACACACATAAGACCCTATTAAACTGCACACTTTAAATCCATGCACTTTGTTGTACGTCAATAATACTTCAATGAAGCTATTAAGAGAAAAGTATTGGTCTATAAAACAGTCAAATAGCAGCGTGATCGATAGAGCACACATTTTAAAGAGTAGAGAGTTGCTGTGTCCTTAAGTAAAATACACGTAAGAATTCAAGTACAGTGTGTTTTCCTACAAAACTGAAAGGACGTGGCTTTTATTTATAAAATGTAATATTTATATAAAATTTATAAAAGTGTAATATCTTAAAAGTACTAATTATACTTTTTTACTTTTTCCCTTTTTTCTCTATTTTTTTTGGTTGAGTCAGAGTCTCTGTTGCCTAGGCTGGAGTGCAGTGCCATGGTCATGGCTACTGCAGCCTCAACCTACTGTGTTCAGATTATCCTTCTGCCTCAGTCTTCCAATTACCTGGAACTACAGGCACACACCACCATGCCCAGCTAATTTCTTGATTTATTGTAGAGATGAGGTCTCGCCAAGTTGCCCAGGCTGGTCTCAATCCCCTGGGCTCAGGCAATCCTCTCGCCTCCACCTCCCAAAGCCCTGGGGTTACAGGAGTGAACCACGATATGAGGCTATACTTTTCTTTTTAAGTGGCATATATCTGAAGTCCCAAATGAGCTGGCTCAACCCAAATTAGTTTAAAAGGATCACATTACAGCCAAATATCATTTGCAAGTGTGAAAAAGGTGTTCATTTGAGGGTCTGAAATCTTGATTCTACTATACTTGATTCTATTATTCTAAGCACAGGTCCACTGAGAGCTACAGGCTTCTGTGATCCTGCAAAGTCAATAAACCCAAACAAATCTGTAACATGGAAGAAACAGAATCTGGAAGCTGAAGACCCAGGAAACAGAAAGGCTGAGATGAGGTTCATTTTCCCTGTCCACCTAAAAATAACTATCAGAGGTCTTAGCCTGGCCCACCCAGCATGAATCAGAGTTGAAGTGCCAGCTCCTCTCTCCATCACCAAGGGAACAGAGCTGTGTTCTTAACGCTCTCACCTGAAACACTAGAATCCCGGTATTGGCCACTGCCAGATTGATCTTGGTGCCTTCTCTGTCCTTAGCGGGGTGCAACCGGATTCCATACATCTCCAGCCGACGGGCAATCTCCAGGAGCTGGAAATCTGATTCTGCTGGTGTTTGTCCACTGACAAAACAAAAATTAGAGAGAGAAGCCAGGAGATTTGAATTCCCCATGTCTATTAATTTGAGATTAAGAAGCTTCCCTTGGGAAATAGAAAGGCATTTCATCACAACCAGCAGGGCCACCCGATCAGATGACACCCAACCTCCCATTCATCATGACCCAGAGTCTCGCAGTGAGGACAAAAGCTCCATTGCTTGTGTAACACAAAACCCCAGAAGTCGATCTCAAACTCAGCCAGATTTTTTTGAATCTCAAAGAGTTTCCTTTAAGGTCACATAAAAGCAAATCACCACTGTGCTAAAACAAGTTTTCAGTCACTTACAATAACCTAAACTTGGGAGCAAAGTTCAAGGCAACACTCTTTCTTACTGTCATCAGATTCCAACACCTTCTTTTAAAACAACGGAAAGCATAGAGGATCCTTTGAAAATGTTTCAGGGATAGAAACAAAAAGCAAAAACAGATGTGTTACGAAGAGTCTAGATTTTCACAATATTCTTACTTGACCCTAGTTAACCAAGTCCCTTTCCTGATTTTCTGTAAAGATGATAATGGGATGACTCTGTGGTCTGACACTCTCCCTTTCATTCCAAAGCATGAGGTGTTTTACAATCCCAGGCTAACTCGAGTCTCTTGAGGAGGCGAGCCGGGGCCCGGGCTGGGGTGGGTGAGAGCCCAGTATGGGTCTTAACATCCCAACAAGCCTCTGTATTCCTCTCCACTTACCTACTGTGTTCTCCACCACAATGGTGTGTGAGTGTGTGTGTGTTTGTGTGTGTATGTGTGTGTGTGTGTGTGTGTGTGTATGTGTGTGTGCATGTGTGCGCACGCACACATACCCACATATGCTGGGAGGCAGAGAGAACCAGCTTGAAGAGATTATAAAGCTGTGAATGAGACTTACATGTGGTTATGATGAAATTCCACGATTTTGTCTTCTAAAGTATCTTGCTGAGGTATGTACTTATTTTTTGCTAAATGCTCTCTGTCCAATGCTTCATCAAAATCCCCAATCTCGGCTAAAAAGAAACAGAAAAAGAAAAATAGGCCACGTGAGATGGACACTCCACAGTTTGTTATATTCCCCAGCTAGCGAACCAAACACTCGTGGGCACCATAAGGTGAGCTCAGCTAGTAGGGATTATCCTGAAGGCCAACCTTTGGGATGCAGGGATGTAAGGGCATATTTAACAACAGGAGCATTGTAGGAAGACAGCTGTTTCGCTTCTTCTCTAACGGTTGGAAAGAAACATCAGAATCATCTGTCTCTAGCCATATGCACGTCCCCGGATGCTTCTTTCCTCCTTATCTACCTGGGGAGGTTCTTGGCAAGAAATTCTATACATCTGGGTGATGACTATATGACCTCTAAACAGGTCCTGGAATCTCAAGGCTTGACAAAATCCAAATCTGAAACTCTTCTTATATATAACAATGATTCATGCAAACCCAAATAGTTTCCCATGTAGTGAAAAGAGGATTGTAAGTAGGTACAAAGGGAGATAGTCTAATTTTTAAAAAAATTATAAGTTTATTAAACTTCTTATAGTCCTGTTGTCAGAAATAATGGGTCACACTGCAAAGTCTTACAATTTTTTGTTTTTCTTTTTTTTTCTGAATTGGAATCTCAGTCCATCACTCAGGCTGGAGCGCAGTGGCATGCTCACGGCCACCCCAGCGTCGATCTGCTGGGCTCAGGCGATCCTTCCACCTCAGTTTTCCAAGTAGCCGGAACTACAAGGCGTGCACTATCATGTCCAGCTAATTTTTTATTTATTGTAGCGAGAAGTCTCGCTATGTTGCCCGGGCTGGTCTTGACTCAGGTAGTCCTTTCACCTCGGCCTCCCAAAGTGCTGGAATTACAGACTGAGCCACCGAGCCCAGCCTGTTTTTCTTTTTTTTGAGTCAGGGTCTTACTCTGTCACTCAGGCTGGAGTGCAGTGGCATGATCACAGCTCACTGCAGCCTTGACCTCCTCCTGGGGTTGGCCTTCTAAGTATCTGGGACTGCAAGTACATGCCACAATGCCCAGTCAATTTTTTCTATTTTTTTTTTTTTTTTTTTTAGAGACATGGTCTCACTATGTTGCCTAGGCTGGTGTCAGACTCCTGAACTTGAGTGATCCTCCTGCCTCGACCTTCCAAAGTCCTGGGATTACAAGCATGAACGACCGTGACCAGCCTAAATTTTTATCTTTGAGAAAAGTGTAGAACCTCGAGATGGTCGTCAAAATTGCTGTAATGTGGAAATTCAAAGGCTAGAGCTTTAAAATCGTAATTGTACCTTAACAACACTGATTCAATCTCAGCTTATACCAATTGTCATACTTTTGGGATGGCACGCCTTTTCTTTGATTCACACAGTCTGTGTAACAAGCTTAATAAAAAAATAGCCTAATGGCCAGCGCTCAGCTGTCTTGATGAAAAGCAAGTGAAAGGTTTCTATGAAACTGACCTTTCATATTGTCACGGGACACAAGCTTGTCACACTTAGGGCAAAGCACCTCCAGTAACTGAGCGGGATATGGCCTGTGTGTCTCCATCAATCATACTCACTGAGAATATCTGCTCTGTGCACAGCCATGACAACTCACCTGGCAACGGCTGGGCCACCAGAAAAGTCACTAGCTCACTGGTTTCCTTCTTCTAAAACAGACCAGCTACACTATTTGCTCACTGCCTTTTCTGGACTAATTTCTCCCTCTAAGAGAGTAAAATCGTCACCCTGTATCACAGAAAACAGCGAGAAATAGAGGGGGCATCCCTGGTCACACTGCCTTTGTTAACTGTTGCCTTGAAAATGGCAACCCTGGCTTTTCTGCAATCTTCTATCTGGTCTCAGAAAACACAGCTGAGTCTCATCATTTGGGGTCGTTAGGATCTGCAGAGGTACCACATGATCCTCCCACTTCAGCCTCCCAGGTAGCTGGGACTACAGGTTCACAACACCACACCTGGCTAATTTTTAAACTTTTTTATGGTGACAAAATCTTGCCAGGTTGCCCCGGCTGGTCTCAAACTCCTGGGCTCAAGCAATCCTCTTGCCTTGCACTCCCAAAGTGCTGGGATTACAGGTATGAGCACCCTGCCTGGGCTATAAAACTCTTGAAACAACATTTTCATTAACTCTCCTTGTGTATGTGTGTTTCTGCTGAAAGCCATAGTAAATTTACACTGCTGACTCCTCCACATTGAACCCACAGCCAACAGCAGTAGAACTCACGCTTGAATGAAGCTTATCTAACACACAGATTTCCTCCACAAGGCAGATGGCACCACACTTGGGGACGGACATGAGGGAGCAATGCCACGCAATGCCTGGGGACTACTGTCAACAGTGAAATCACCAACAATACACACAAAAATGCAAAAAGCGTGGCACTAAATAGACCATGAAAAGATACTTGTTAACAGGACAAGAAAAGAGGCAGCACAAAGCCTTGTTGGACCTGGGAATGTGTGTCCCCGGAGCTCCAATTCCTCGCCACTCTGGGCGTGACTAGTGTATTTTTTTTTTTTTTTTT